TTGGCCTGCTGTGTTCATCCAGCTCTACACCTTGTTATCTTCCGATTCTCCAGCATCTGCAGTTCCTACTATCTCTGTAATAATCTGGAGACACAGGTTCAAATCCTGCCACAACAGGTGGTGGAATTTGAATTCATTAAATATCTGGAGTTAAGAATCTAATGATGACCGTGAATCCATTGCTGATTGTCGGGGGAAAAAACCCATCTAGTTCACTAATGTCCTTTAGGGAAATAAACTGCCATCCTTACCTGGTCTGGCCTACATGTGATTTCAGACCCACAGCAATGTGGTTGACTCTTAGCTGCTCTCTGGGCATTTAGGGATGGGCAATAAATGCTGCCTTGCAACGCCCTCATCCCTTGAATAAATAAGAAAGAAAGCTTCCATCAAACAGTAGGCAGTCAAAGATAAGCAGTTTCATATTTTGTTTACCTGTTGGAACAGGTACCATGGGCAAGGCCAGCATTTTTTGCCTATTTCTGATTTGTTCTTGAAGATGTTAATGAGTCATCTTGCATTATTTTCATCTGTGTTGGTAGACCCAAGTGCTGTTGGAATGGGGACTGCAGGATTTTGAGCAGTAGCAGTAAGGGAATGGTGATGTAGTTCTCAATTGGGACTGTAGAGGACTTTTTTTTGATTCACTCATGGGATGCTGACCAGCATTTAGTGCCCATCCCTAGTTGGCCTTGAGGAGCTGTTGGTGAACTGCCTCCTTGAACTACTGCAATCCATGTGCTGTAGGTTGAACCACAATGCCCTTAGGGAGGGAATTCCAGGATTTTGACCCAGTGACAGTGAAATAAGTGATGTATTTCCAAGTTAGGATGGTGAGTGGTTTGGAGTGATCTTGCATGTGCTGATGTTCCCATGCATCTGCCGTTGTCCTTCTAAATGGTATAAAAGATGTTATCAAAAGAGCCTTGGTGGACCTTCCCAAAATATAAAAAGTGGCATTTACATAGAGCTTTCACAACCTCATGTCACAAAGCACTTTACCACCAACCAATTATTTACTTTTCAGGTATAGTCTGTAATGATTAAAATATACACAATCAGTCTTATATACTACACCTGGCTCCGTAAAAGTTTTTTTGCCTTTCAGAGGCAGAATCATTGTTCGTTTTTTTTTGTATCAGGCACCAATATGTTGTGCATTCACTATCCATAGATATTTCAAAGTGGCATCACTTCTTAATGTTGTACCTTTAATGCTATACCTGTTTCTAGCAAGTAGCTGGAATACCAGCTACGATACCCATATCAAATGATAGTGGGCCGGACTGAAGCAAGAATAGGTAGTAAATGTTGCCATTCAGTACCACATCATTAGTAACCAACAGTGAAGAATAAAATCATCTCTTTTCGTTAATTTTGTAAGAAACTTCACACCTTTTACATTTTTTGGAACCACTTCACTGAAACTGTTACTCATTCAAAAGGGAATAATTTGAAACAAAAATAATGCACTTAGGACCAAATTATGGGTGTGAGAGGTGAGTGAGGTGAATTTTGTGAATGATAAGCCCATTTTCATTGCCTGTGCTGACTGATCAATACTTTACTCAATTTTTTTTTCTAAATTCATATTTCTAGCACTTTCAATTAATGCTGATTCCAATTAGTGTTTAAAATGCTTGCTGATGATTAGGCTCTTTAATTTAAAAGGCCAGTTTCCACTCTCGTGATAACTTGCCATTTTGTCTTTGCTCGCAGAGAGCTGATTAGCTGAAATGTATAATAGATATAGTTGATTTATTTGGCATTAAAATTGGGAAATCATAATCTTGCGTGAAGATACCAGAAAAATATTATAGGGCTAAATACATTGTATTACATACTTTGTGCTACATACTTTTGATTTGGTCTCTCTCTTTTCACCACTGTGGCAAAATCACATCTTTGGTAGTCTTAATCTACAAATGCTTTGTGCATAAAAGGCCTTGCATGCGATTTACCTGGAAGAGATTTGTAAAGCTCTAAAATAGGAGGTGCATTGAAACAACCCGTGGTTTAGCTCTTTTCCTTAGCAAACTGACTTCAATATATGGAGCACTTATTTGTACTGCAGTATTAGAACAAACCATGAAATGGATGTCAGCTACTGCCACTCTTGCTGTACCTAGCTCATGGTGCCAAAGCCCAACAGTTTGTATGTGGGTTTGACACTCATTTCGGATGTCAACTGATCAATAAGGCATGCAATTCATACTGAAAGTAGAATAGCATAATTACACTATTGTGGACTGTTTCCAAGTCATGCTAGAATGGATTGTGAAGCTAAATAGTAGAACACAGTTTTTCTTTTTTATTTGGTGACTGAATTTGAATCAAAATAAGGTAGACCTCTGGAAAATGGATTTGATATTTTTCTTATTTGTTCAAATTCACTGCAACTTTTCCAACTGAAGTACAAAATTTATGTAAGATTTGAGGATTTGCACCTGGACCTGGCAAAAGCTTAAGTTCTGTGGAGACCTGACCATGAAAATCAGTTTTGGGTACCTGAGAACAAGAAAAGCCAACTTCTGTGTTTTTACTCGGGTTTAGTTGGCTGCTTTCCCTCCAGGAAGACACAAATTAATAATTGAAGAACCACATTTCTACCATCTATATGAAGCCATCTATTGTGCGTCTGGTAATATGTATCACTGGGAGAAACATGGAGTCTTGATGGAACTTTAACGCTTCAATTTACTTCATCAAGTAAAATGTCAACAATGAGATCATATTTAGAGATGGATACCATTTGATCTGACTTGATTTTGCCAAAAAGCTTGGCAAAAAGACTAGAGGAAATTAAAGTGAAGTCTTGGAAGATTTTTAATTCCTGCTGTTGGGTGAGAGGTTTATACTTTAAAATTGGAACTAGTTTCATTTTGAATGTTTTGAATAAAACATTCAAAAATATGTATTGCCAGTGGACAAATTAATTTTGTATATGCATTAAATACAAAATGGTATCCAAAATTATGCCAAAATGCATCTTGCCTTGAGGCTACTTTATTATGTGAAACTTTTGTTTATTGCTGTTAGGCTGCAGTTTTAAACATGCCATCTCAAATTAGTACAGCCTTGTATGCGTGATGGCCATGAAAGATGCACCAGTGTATGCAAGATTTCATTAGTTTCAAATTAATTCTTTATTAGATGTCCTTAATAGATAATTCCTTTGGTACTTTTTAGAGTATATATTATAGATTCATGATGTAGTGCCTTACAGGGCAGCTGATAATTTGTATATGATGCTTTGATATATGCATTGGTATCTTGCCTATGATTCTGTTACGTATTCTGTTGGGTTAATCTTCAACCTTTTTGAAAGCATTAACAAACAATATTGGAAATACTCTGTTCTGCTCAACACGTCTATTCACTATTATTTCCCTACTTCTGCCTTTTCGTGTAGCTTAATGTGCAAGTATGTCTGAAACATTAATGTGATTAACTTTAACTTTATTTTAGCTTCAGGCAGATGTTGGACATCTTGAGGATAAAGTCGAATGTGCCAATAGTGATTTGAAAGCGGATTGGGAAAGGTGGTCTATCAACATGCAGAATGATTTGCAATCTGCTTTCCGAAATGCAGCTGAAAATAATATTCATTATTTTGAAAGGGTAAGAAATTTTAAAATTTTGGAATGATGCTCTGGTTTGGTAGTGAAGAATAGCAAATTAAAGAGCAAAATGGCCTCCAGCACATGGTTAAGTACACTGGAGTGGTTGATGGATAGCTAATCTTAATACCAGCTGTCTTCAATTAAAACCCTTCGACTGAACTGGGAAATTGCATTAAAATTATTCTTCATACTTGCATTTATGTTCTGCCTTCTCAATTTATTTCCACCTTTTCTTCCTCCAGAGCTAAGTTTTAGATTTAGTAAACATGTGAATGTACAAATATTTATGAAAATAAGTTAGGAGCAAAAGTAGGCCACTTAGTCCGCCAAGCCTGATCCACCATTAAATCAGATTATAGTTCAACTCCACATTCTCACCTGCTTCAATATCCTTTTATCCCCTTGATTACCAAGAATCTCTTCCCCCATCTGCCTTAAAAATATTCAGGATCCTCCACTTTTTTGATGAAGAGATTTCCAAAGACTCTAAACTGCACAAGTTTTGCCTCATCTCTGTCTTAAAGGGGTAAACTCTTCTTTTTAAAGTGTGACCTTTAGCTCTAGATTCTCCAACAAGAGGAAATGTCCTTTCCAGATCCATCCTGCCAAGACCCCTAAGGGTCTTAAATGTTTCAATCAGCCCCTTACTCTTCTAAACTCCGATAGATACAAGCTTAGCTTGTCCAGCAATTAGGAATTATTATTTCCTAATAACAACACAATCCACCCATTCCAGGCAATAATCTAGGAAACTATTTCTGAATTACTTCTAAACCATTTAATTCCTTCAAATAAGGAAATCAATTCTGTACACAGTACTCCCAAATTTGTTCTCATTAGTGCCCAACATAACTGAAGGATAACCTCCTACTTTCATATTCAATTCCCCTCACAATAAGCAATTGAATTCTATTAACTTTCATTGTTATTTGCTGTACCTGCATAGTAGCAGTTTGTGATTCATGTCTGAGAACACCTGGATCCCTTTGCATCCTAGTTCAGCAATATCTCCCCATTTAGAGAGGCGGTAAATGCTGGACCAGCGAGTGGTGCTCACAACCCATTAGTGAGTAACAAAAGATAATATGCTTCACTCTTATTCATCCTGTTAAAATGAACAACTTCGCAATGTACTGTACCTTTTTTCATGGAATCCCTACAACGTGGAAGCAGACCATTTGGTCATCAAGCCACTCTGATCCTCCGAGGAGCATCCCCATTCTATCCCTGTAACCCTGCATTTCCTAAGCTAGGCGGATTAGCCTTGCACATCCCTGGACACTATGGGCAATCTGGCATGGCCAATCCACCTAACCTGCACTCCTTTGGACCACGAGGAAACTGGAGCAACCAGAGGGAACCCACACAGTCATGGGGAGAATATAAGTAAATTGTAAAATATTGAGTTCCAGCACTGAACCCTCTGGAACAGCATTCATTACAGTTTGTCTCTGGAAAAGGAAAATTTATGCCGACGCATGCCCTGTTATTTTCCCACTCTTCTCTCCACACAAAAATGCTATTTCCTGTATCATGAGCCTTCAGTTTCCACAGTTACCTTCTGGAATTCTAAGTCGAGTACATCCACAGTCTGTGTTACTTCTTGAAAGAAATCCAATAAATTGGTTAAATATGATTTCCCTTGACAAAACTGGTTGGTTCTGTCTGATTCCCCTCAATTCTTCTAACATTTTCCCTTTGACAGATTTTAAGCTAACTGGCATGTAGTTTCCTGCTTTCTGTCACCCTTTTTCAAGTGAAGGAGTTATATTTGCTATCAAGTAAATTTTACTTGATTTCCCAAATTTAAAGTCATCAGTGGTGACGTGTAGAGTGAAAAAAAAACTTGTCATGCAAACAAATTTAAAATTTTCTCTTTTGGAACTTAAACATGAGAAATGTGAAGTAAAACCACAAGATAATTGTTGAATTAAATATTCTGATTTTTTGTGATTACTTGAATTTTGCTCTTGTTTTGGTATCATCCAAGCCCTAAAATTAGGTTGTGAATTTTATGCACTTAAACAATTGTGCGAGTAGATTTCTTTTACAATAAAGCGTAAAGAGCATTATTGTATCAGTAATGTATTAAATATAAAATCCAGTATATAATAGTGCTTGGAATTGAGGGTCTCTACAAAGAGGAAAAAATCCTTCATTCATTTGATTCAATATTCAGCAGACTTTTTAATACCAGATTTCCATTTAGGATCTGTTTGTCTGTTAATTGCAGAGGAAGTCGTCTTCACTGCATGCACAGATAATTATGGAAGGTAGCTCTTCTGTCCTGTTTGTTTGTTTCTTCAGAAGTAATTGCTGATCCCTGAACAAGCTAAATTGCAACCATTTTCTTTTCATTTGTGGGACGTGAGCATTGCTGGCTGGTCAGCATTTATTGCCCTTCCCTAGATGCCGTCGAGAAGGTGCTGAGCTACCTCCTTGAATTGCTGCAGTCCATGTGCTGTAAGCGAACTCACAATATCATTAAGGAAGGAATTCCAAGGTTTTGACCCAGTGGCAGGGAAGGAATGGTTATGTATTGTGTGTGTTTTGGAGGCTGAGTGTGTGTTTTGGAGGCTGAGTGTGTG